ATAACCATTTTGAAATTAATAGAATTATGATCGCTCGACCCAAAGTGTTCCCTCACCTTTACTTCAGTCACCTGCCCTGCCTTATTGCCCAAAAGAAGGTCTAGTTTTGTTCCTTCTCTAGTAGGAGCATCCACATATTGAGAAAGAATTTTTTTCTTGAACATATTTGACAAATTCTTCACCATCCAAACCTTTAACACTATGTAGCCCTCGTCAATGTTTGGAAAATTAAAATCCCCCATTATTACAACCTTATTATGCTTACATATATCTGAAATCTCCCTACATATTTGTTACTCAGTTTCCCTCTTACTGTTGGGGGGGGGGAGTGGTCTATAGTACAATCCCTGTGATCTTTCCTTTCTTATCTGTAATTTCTACCCATATATTTTCACTGGATGATTTTTCAGCAATATCTTCCCTAGTTACAGCAATAATGTATTCTTTAAGCAAAAATATCATTGGGCCCTCCTTACTTGCCTTATTTTCTATGCTTCCTATAGCATCTAAGACCCAGAATACTGAGCTGCCAGTCTTGTCCATCTCTCAGCCAAGTTTCTGTAATGGCTATGAAGTCTCAATCCCATATTCTTAAACATGACCTGAGTTCATCAGCCTTATCTGTAAGACCCCTTGCACTGAAATAAATCCAATTTAGTTCTTCAGAGTTACTACATACTCTGATTCTCTCTTGTCTTTCTTTGCTAATTGATGCGCTTTCCTCATTTTCAGAATCTTCCCCATTAATCCTTCTGTTTACACTGCTACTTAGAATTCCTCCACTCACCCTCTCTATCAAAATAAAGTCTTCCTTTACAGAATGAGCAAATCTCTCTGCTAAGATATTGGTCCCTTTCCAGTTTATGTTAGAACCATCCTTTTTGAACAGGTCTTTTCTATTCCAATTGTCCAAAAACCTGAATCCCTGAACAATACACCAGTTCTTCAGCCATTGATTTATCTCCTTTAACCCTTTGTTCCTTCCCTCATTTGAGTCTGGCATTGGGAGTAAACCAGAAATTACTAATTTCAAGGTTCTGTTTTTTAATCTTCTAACTAATCTCTTAAATTCACTCTGTACTGCTTTAATCTTTTCCCTCAGAATGTCATTCCTACCAATGTGTCCAATAATTTCTGGCTTCTCAATCTCACCTTTAACAATATGCATGAAACATCGAGAAACGTCCTTAATCCTAGCACCAGGAAAGCAACGAAGAATCCTAAATTTATGCTCACTGCCACAGAATCGCCTGTCTATGCCCCTGACAGGAGAGTCTCCTATAACAATAATTCTATTAAATCTTGTCAAATGCTGCCTAACATATGAATCATTCTAAGTGTCCAATAACTGACTGCCCATTTCATTTTCCTTGGAGAGACTATCCCCTTCCACAGTTCCAAAAACTGAATATCTATTTGCTAGAGGAATAGCCACTGGAGACTTTTGAACTAACTTTGTACATCTCCTGACAGTCACCACTAGGCCCTCTGTTGATTTTGTTCCTTTGCACCTATTAAAAGACTCACTTTTCCTTCTTATCCAAGTCCTGAAATTTCTAGATATCCAGGGTTCTCTGGACTTGTTGCTCCTACATTTCACCCTAAAGGGAATACGATGGGCTTGTGCTTCCCATCCCCTAGCTTGGGAAATGCTTACACTTAACTTCACTCTTTCTGAAAACATCAATGCCCTGAATGTAGGGAGAAAGGCATTAATTCAGGCTGAGATTTCACAGTAAATTCAGTGAGACTCACAGCCATCAGAAGGTCAGCAGAAATTAACTGTAATCCTGGGACATATTACTTTATAAAAGAAAAGGGCAGAAAGGTGGAAAGTTCAGGCAAAGTTTTGGATAATGATAGAAAAACAACCATTTTATAGCCTCAAATTGCTAAGGTGCATTTTTCAAGTTTAATTGGCACTGACCATACATTTACAGAACTGGAACAAGTAATAAAGTGAAATGAGTGATCTAAGTGATACACACATCTTGGATAAACATGAGCAGAACATGTCAGATAAAGGGCTGACTCAATATGGAAACATTAGTACTAATGCTCAGGATAGGGTTATTGATCCCACAGGCTGGAACTGAAAATCAGCACTAAAGCTAGAGGGATGCCACCATTCTAGGGACAAAGGAAAAGCACCAGCAAATATAGACATTGGCTAAATATGCAGGATAAGGGATAGAAGGTGAGGTCTATAGGTTGGCAAAAGAAAACTAAGATGTGAAAGTCCAGAAAATGTCGTACAAGTTTTGAAAGTGGACCTGAATGTGAACACAGTCTTAAGAAAAGATCATAGACTGCAAAAAAAGGATTTCTGACCAAAGGAAGGTGAGATCTCGTAGTTCTAGGACAGAATGAGATAGGAGGGTAAGTAGAGGACATAAATTGACACGAGCAAAGATGATACAGGCTAGGAATGCCATGAGAAGTAAGTTCTTGTGACTGACAAGTTTTAGTGGATACTAACAAATTAGAAAAGTTTATAAAGGACATCAAGCAAAAAAGTTGGAAAGCTTGAAAGAAATTGTGTGTGTACTGAGGTACTAGGAAGGAGACAACCAACTTTATCACATAGATGGATATGTAGAATAACAGTTTCTTGATGGTACATAAAGAAAAGGCTAAAGACAGACAACTGCCTCTGAGTTTTGAAGAAAGACTTGGTGATCAAAATATTAGACTTGATTCCCCTACAGAAGGAAAAGGAAAATGAAGATTTTGTTAGCTCCTTTAAAATGCAATTCTTTGGAATGTAAATTGACTGATGAAATTTTCATAAGTGGAAAATTTTCTAAAGGAAGTCTTTTTGGTGCCAGCTAAGAAGGCTGTCAATTTGGAGAAGAAAATGTGGGAATTAAACAGATGTGTCTATGGGTTGAATGGTTCATCAATGATGTGGTATTTCTCCATTAGGACCATCCAGCTGAAAGTGTATTCAGTTAAAAGTAGGCCTAGCTGTATTTTACGAGTTTCATTAGAAGAAACTAACAAACATCTTTGTGATGCATGCTGGTGATTTGCTAGAGGCTAATTTTGCAGAATTCAAGTGATATGTGATAGATAACATTAAAAATGTACTTGACTGTTGGGAGTAAGTTTCAGGGGCCTTCAGATATATAGGACTAGATATTAAGCAGAGTAAGTAAAGAGTGACCTTAGATCAACCATCATGCTTAGAACATATCACTTTCATACCACTAAATACAACCAGGTCATCACAGAGAGGATCCTACATCCAACATAGAAGTAGTCATGTTAAGGAGTTTGACTGGACATTAAACTGGTTCTGTACTCAGCCTAAGCCCAATGCCAGTTATGATCCATTGGGGCCTTGTACCATGTTAAAACATTATACAGTCGAAGGTTCACTGAGTGAATGCAATAGTGAAAAAAAGTAATTCAGAGAAATGTGCACTGAAGTTTCCAGCTTTGGCCAATTCAGCAGAAATGAAGTTAGTCATCTTTAATCTTTCATATGCTAATTTTCCAGATGGATATTCTAGTATAGGAGAGTTTATCACATTCTTGGTGAGAAAGAATAACAACTATTGCTCATGAGTCAGGGGAGCTAAGAAAATAAAAAGGGTAGTTTAAAGTATCTTAGTTGCTGAAACACTGGAATGACTGGAAACCATAGTTATGGGGATATGATTGTCTAATATTCTGGTGGAAATCCAAGCAAGGGGCAATCTGAGAGAACATTGTCTATTTAATGTTATCTGGATAATCCTCCTCTTTGGGACAGATGAACTATCCATTGAGTCTCTACTGGAATGAAGCAATTAACAAACCAAGGAACAGTGGAGAACCTACAGACCTCAGACCACCAGCAAGACAGTCTAACCACATTCTACCCAACAAACTACCATTCCTTGAAGTATGAAGAGAACAGATTTGAGGAAGAAAGTGAAATTTCCAGATCATCAATGGATAGTGGTAAACACAATGTATAACTACATCCATAACAATAATAGTATGAGGGTAAAAGACTTGGATGGAGATGTTATAAGAACAGTCTAATATTTGGTTGTACGTGGTAAAGATACGCTTGAAAATGTAATTACGACAAAGGCAGCCTAAGGAAGGAGTTGGTAGGAGACACACCTGGTGCTGCGTACTCATAAGTCTTAATAGAAATGTGAAATGTGGGTCATACTCATGTAAACCCTGCATAGCTGTTGTAATGCAATAGACCTCCAGTGTTTACTCAATAGGACTCTTCCAGTTGGACCAAAGAAGTGATTATCATCATGTACACAATACCACTTCGGACTACATAAAACAAGGTTACGCGTCACGGTCGATGGCAAAACAAATTCATTTTCAGTTAATGATGGCGGAAGAGCTAGAATCTTTAGGGACATAAAGAGGAGCACCCTAAGGGAAGGAGAATTGTACTTTGAAGTACACATGCGACAAACAATGAGAAATCAATTCATGTTTTCATCTAATCATATTGCTCATTGAAATTGAAAATTGAGGGTATTAACAATGACTGATAAAAAAAAAGCTCAAGACTGGAAGGCGCGAAGAAACGAGATTATGACCGGACCTTGGGCAGCTGATGAATGCCACAAGCATTCGGGTGTGGAGCCCGCTGGTTCTGAATGAAACATTCTCACCCTAAATCATACACTGTATTCTTCTCTACACTCAACATGACCAACCTGCCGTGCATAAATTTCTATTCAGATTAAATTACTCGCGATACCGTGCAAGATACCAGATAATTCAGTGTTTACACGGATGATATCATCACATTTGAAAATAAATGCGTTCAGACTTTTAAAACAAAAACTTTGTTTTGCCAGTGGGGGTGGGTAACAGGAGAGTCTCTCACAACCTTTGGGCCAGGGTTGGTTTCTCTCAGCTCTCATTGTGTTTGACCTGAGGCCATTCGGGCGTTTCCGCGCGGACCTGTTGCCTGTGCGGTGTTTTTTTTAAAAACGAGTGCCTTAGCCTCGGGTATTTCCGTGCTGCAGCTGGAAGGCCGGCGGAGCGGAGCCGAGCTGAACTCAATCTGAACGAGTGGAGGTTTCGGGAATCTCCGCGGGCCCTGACTTGACTGATTGAACGCTTGTAACATGGCGGCGGTGATGAAGGGAGCGGAGTTGAACATCTTTGGCTAAAGTAAAAGAGAGAGACAGAAACGAGAACAATTCTTCTGCTGTTCTAATTTCTGTCGAGTAATGGACCCGTGGCTTTCTGCAACACGTGCGCAGGAAGAACGTGAGAAAAATTTGCAACAGAGGGAGCAACCAAAGGAATAAGTTTATAGCAACGCCGGTTTGGGAAAGGAATAAAAGTGCGAAAATGTCGGATTCTAAGGTGAAAGTTGCAGTGAGAGTCCGGCCAATGAACCGACGAGGTAAGGAGGAATTTAAAATCCATTCAAGAAGCAGCGCGGTTCTCGGGAATGTTTTAAGAAAAGGGTCTTTTATTTGAAGTAACATTGTTAATAGTTGGGGAGATGGATACGCGGGAGTTGTGGGCTGTTTGGTAACATTGTGACTGATGTTCTGCACAGAGCTGGAACTCAACACCAAGTGCATAGTGGAGATGGAAGAAAATCAGACTGTCCTTCATCCACCGCCTTGTCCTAACACGTCCAAGGCAGACAACAGGTAAAAGCCGCGCTTCCCAACGACAGACTCTTTTCCACTGCAGCCTTCCTTTCCTCCCCGATCCCAGAAAGAAAACTACAATGCAAATAGTTTATTTCCCCCTATATCTCTTATCGTTATGCCGCCATGAGAATTAACGCCCCGAGCGTGGTTTAAAATTGGAACTCTGCACAACAAAAATCTGCTGTTCGCATAAAGAAAGGAGGGAGGGGAGAGCGTCTCTGACGATCGAGACCACAAACGGCGCCAGCAGCTACTTCTAGTTCGTACGGTGCTGAGATTAGAGAGTCCCGAGTCGGACGATCAGATATTTATAAACATGTTTAAATAAAAATATGTTCAAAAGGCACTCGTAACATATATATTATATTACACTTGTTTCGATGGTTTTCCATCTTTTGTTAAGAGAAGGAAAGATAATGTTGGCACACACCCAATTTCTATGGTCTGTTGCGTTGGAATTTTTTTTGGAAGAGAAATGGAAGATTGGGGGCTGGGAGAAGAGACTTTTGTGACAAGTTCCAAAGAAGTAAAGAAATGTGGCATTACTATTAAACGATTGTAGAGAATGAATGGTGACTGGGACTGCAGTCTCATTTAACTTTTTTTTTGCTTTTTTTTAAAAAAAAACGTGGACATTATCGTTTTGTATTTGCTGTAATCTAAACAAGCGGCTCGGGTTGTGCTTTGACTATTGAAGGACGATAGTGTTCAGATTTTTTGTTTGGAAATCCAAGTGACAGCACAGAGACTGCCGTGCTACTGGGTCCGCTCTGTAGTCTCTCCCTACACGGGAGGCATTTGTAAAATTCCCTGGCTGAAGCAGTTTACCCACTCCTGTATTCAGTTTGGCTGCAAATTGTTGGAGTAGTGTTGCTCTTTTTAATTGCAAATTTGTCTGGTCTGTTTTAAGAATCGGCATGTTTTTTTTGGAGGGTCAAGATTGGTTATTGATTTATGTAACCCATCAGATTCAGTCACTTACTTTTCAATTGGCCTGTATAGCGACGACGCGGAACAAGCCTACAACCAACCGCAGTCTAACCTTCCCTCCCATCAAACGAATCCCAGTCACTGAAATATAACTGTTTGAAAAGCAGGTGCGGTTTACTGCCTCCAGTTTACTGATTGCTTTTCTCAGCGATTTCGTGCTATCATGATTTATTTGTTTTCTTTTGAGCGGACCAAATTCTTTGTACATGATCTTGCGTTCGGGCGTTATTTGGCTGCTAAATGAACACACTACACTTAGTTGGAGTGGTTTTAAACCAAGTTGTTACATAGCTTTCAATCGAAACGGCTCTCGCACTGCCGGCATGTTTGCAACATATAGAATGCATTTAACTCTTGCAATCTAAGCATCCGTACTTGGAGTTATTTACAATATACGGGAGACGACATACTGCGTAGATTTAAGTGTTTAGACCAAGATCTTGTGTACAAACCCGACTGGAAATCTAATGTTTGTGTCTAATCCGCGTCACTCGCTGCTTTAACTATTTGCAGTACTCGCTATATTTCCATGTTTTAAATTTCAAATCCACATTAAAATAAAATTATCATAATTTATGCCTAGTCATCTTTAATGCACTGTGGAATCCATGTGTCGTAGCATATTCAAATTGCAACTGTATTATCATTCATAAGCGTTTAATTGGAATTCAGTCCATGTACTGAAAGAATTGGCCATTTGTATTCTATTTGCAGCATTGTAGGTCAAACAGGTCCCGCTCTCTTTTCCCCCCCGCCACTCCCAAATGGCTGGGCCGAATGGCACTGATGGAGTTGTGTGTTTTATGTTCTGTGCAGTTTACTTTTTTGATGTAGTGGATGGAAACGAAATTGAAGTCCAAAGGCACCTTGAATAGCAGACAAGGTCATGGGCTAGGTTTTTTTTATTATTAAGTAGATGGCCACCCACAATTAGAATAGCCGCATGTACTACTCAGCAATTCCAGCTTGTTGTTTTGATCATTGTTGAATTCCTTTGCATGTAAGTTCACAGGCAGCATCAGGATAAGAAACAGCAAATCAATCCATTTGGCATCTTCCTTCTTTCACCGTGGCAGTCATTTTTTCACATGTAACACAGTTTTTGGGTCTCTTGTATTGATCAATGGATTATTTAATCATGCAATCTGGAACAAGGAACGTTTTCCTAATATCAGTTTCATATTGATTTTTTTTCATTAATGCCTATTTATATTCTCTCATACTGTATTGTGTTTTGTGCTTTGCTTATTTCTCTTCCCCCATCTCCATAACATACTAAGCTACTAAACCTGTATTAGTTCCATTTAAGCAGTGCTCTGAATTTCCAACATTTTCTGTTTTGATTGGTTCAGGGTGAGATTTACCACAAGCTTTTACATTTGTTATAGGTAGTTATGTAATTCAGTTGGCTCACCCTTTGCTGTCTTTAGAGTCTAGACTGCATAGTTTGAATTTCTCTAATCGTTTTTCCATAGCTTATCCCATTACATTTGGATCTGTTTTGTTGCATTTTGCACTGTTTCTAACACAAATATATTTCTCTGTGAAATGTTCAAAGCTGAACCTAATACATTGATTTGCACAGAAGAGAATGAGGAATATAAACTTCAATCATTGCTTTCTCGGTGTTTTTTAAATTATTTTACCACTTTGTCCATTGTCTGGACACTGCAAATGATATGTCTACTATTAGTTCCTGTACCTTTTATCCAGGTCCCTTTGTTTATTAAATTTAATTAATTGTACACTGTTCCTCATTTTATATGTCTTCTAGGCACTTTGTACATTGCATTTCAGCGTTAAATTTAATCATGTCTGTCTGTGTTTTGATTTCAAATACCTATGCAAGTTGCTCAGTGGGTCCTGTATTTCTGCCGTTTTGTCATCTGCAAATTCAACTAGTTCATAGTTTTGGTATTTAGGTTACTTATGTTCACTGGAAATTATAGTAGTCTAAGCACTGACACTTGTGGGACATTTAATGAGTACTGAATGCAAAGATTTACTTGCATTTTTGAAGTCAACGATTTAGATTTTTGTCCCTGTATTTTTTATTGGCTTTAGTTGTTTGCTTAATGTTTTACAAGATTTCAGTATCATACAGATGTTTGATTTTTCCATCAGCCTATATTATCTTTGTACTTGCCAACTTAAAATGGCTACTTAAAGCAACTCTGTGGAATAAGTATGGTCATCTTTTCCCTGGCCCTCCTTTTGTTATGCGCTCACTTCACAAAGATGAGCACATACCTTGCTACCAGTTTACTAGCCTTGAGTGTTGTTGGTAGAAATCACTCTGTTGAGTTTCAGAAGTGCTTGTTACGAGTTTATGTAAGGCAGTTGTTAATCTGTACCATTTTGATAGTTATGGGTAATTCTGTTCAGGAGATGTGGCATTCTTGTGGTACAGTGGTAGTATCCCAACCCCTGAGCCAGGAGGCTCAGTTCAAATTCCTACCTGTTGCAGGGGTGTGTAATAACCTCTCTAAACAGGTTGATTTGGGGGGCAAGGATATCCAGGCATGGATAATGGGTTTCCTTATGGAATATTAAAACCAGCATCATTAATCAGAGACCCTATCCACTCTGCTTAATCCAGTGAATGAATTAAACATGACAATCTAAGACTCAAGTCTACAAATTACTACAGTTAATGAAAAAATATTTTTGAAAGTGTTTGAATTACTAATGAATAGCCTAAGAAAATATTTTGTCAAGGAAGGGTGATTATTAATGTAGGACTTGGAAGGCTGTGCCAGTCTTCTAAATGTTGTGCAGTGGAGTAATTTGTTTGTGAGAGAAAATTTTGGAGTATATCTAAGCATAATTTAAAAATAAAAGGTCAAGGAACATCCTTTCTTCACATCATGTCAAATCCATAGTTCAGTACTTAAACCCAACTTATTTTAACTTCAAGGGAGGTTGTGATGGGTGCATTTGGTAACAGATTGTTACATTTGAGGACCTAGAAACCTTGAGATTCTGTCAGTCTTTGGCCAGAGACTGAGCATTGAAAAATGTTAGAACATTTTGTAGGTTCCATTCAATGTTCCAGTATCTTTATTTAGATTATGTACATTTTCTTGACGTTGCACTCAAATATGTCTGATTCCATGTGTGTACGCTAAATCCGTTCCTTCCTCCCCAACATCTGTCCTGACCATGACATTACCTCTGATTTGGCAGACTGTTTGTCCAACGTCCAGTGTCATTGAGCAGAAATCCTATTCATAAATATTGGGAAGATCAATGCCATTGTATTTGGACTACAATAATGATACCACATCAAACAACTAACTTCATTCCAGTCTTGGCTAAAGTGTAAGGCTGAACCAGACTATTGGCAAACTTGATCTCACTGTCAAACAGGATACTAACTGCCAACCCCTGATCCTTTCCATCTAGGAGACTGCCTACATCTCCCATTGGAACATATTTGGCTTGTTTGTTTGTTTTGTGTCCTTGTTGAAACCCTCATTTGTACCTTTGATACCTCTAGATTTAACTGTTCATATCTTCTTTTAACGGACCTTTTATCTTGCACCCTCCTTAAAGTTGAACTCATCTAAAACTCTGGACTTTGTCAGGACCCTGCAGCTTAAGGCCTCATATCAGCCTTGGTCTAAATGTGGCCAAATGACTGACTTCCAGAGGTGAGAATGCACTGATTATTCATGACATCAAGACAACATTTAGCCAAGTATGACATCGAGGAATATAAGCAAAAATTTGAAGTCAGTGGAAAATAGGGGAGCAAACTCTAATGGTTGGAGTCCCATCTAATACTATTTACAAAGGTAGATGGTTGGGGTCTTGGGTCCAACCATCTTCAGCAACTTAATGAATTATCTTTATATACACCTGTAAGGTGAGAAGTTGGGTTGTTCACTGGGCAATACTCATGACAACTTAGAACTAGTGTGCTAAGCAGTCTATGCAGAGCACAATTTTCTTCCAATGGCTCCTCTTGAGACTTCTCAAGGGCCTCATTTTTTATGTAATGTAAG